GAGACAAAGAAAAACAAAAAACTAGGGTAGCAATACTTATACCAGATGGAATAGACTTTAAAAGAAAGGCTATAACAAGAGAGGATCCAGTAATCCCACTTCTGGGTATTTACCTTAAGAAACCCAAAACACTACTTTGAAGGGACATGTGAATCCATATGTTCATTGCAGCATTATTTACAATAGCCAAGATAAGGAGGTGACCTGGGTATCCATCAATGGATGAATGAATAAAAAAGAGGTGATACGTATAGACAATAGACTATTATTTAGTCATAAAAAAAAGAAATGGAGTCTCACCATCTGCAACAACATGGATGGATCTGTAGGGTATTGTGTTGAGTGGATTAAGACAGAGAAAGACAAATGACATATGATTTCACTTATATGTGGAACCTAAAGAAAAAAATAAATAAACAGAAATAAACTCATGGATACAGAAAACATTTTGATGGTTGCCAGATGGGAGGGGGTTTGGGAGGATGGATTAAAAAAAAGAGAAGGGATTAAGAAGCACAAATTGGTAGTTACAACATAGTCATATAGATGTAAAGGATAGCATAAAAAACACAGTCAATAATGTAGTAATAACTATGTATGGTGTCAGGTGGGTACTAGATTTATCGAGGTGATCACTTCATTGGTTATATAAATGTCTAATCACTATGTTGTACACCTGAAACTAATACAATATTATATTGAAATATAATAGAGATACAAATTCAGCAAAAGTTTTTTTATACTGTAGCCTTGAATATTGATAAAGTGCTTCTACAACTTGTACTGTATTACTACTAATACATGGTAATCTCGATGCTAATAAAAACTGCTAATATTTTCTTTATGCTAGAATATGACCTAAATGCATTATATTAATGTTATTAATAACCACTATAGGATATGTTCTATTATTATTCTCATTATGCAGGTAAAGAAAACAAGGTAAAGAGAGGATAAAAGTCTTCCCCAAGGTTACAAGGTAGAAAGGGATGAAGTTGAATTTGAAACTGGACATTGCAAATCCATAGTCTGTGCTCCTTCTTTAGACTGATATTAACTGAGTTGTTTAGTAAGGTACAGGCTGCCTTCATTGTGGGCGGAGTGTAGCTCTAAATAACTGGAATCTTAGTTGGCTTGATTCTGATTCCTTTAGCATGTTCAGATACAAAGATGCATTCCAAGAGGCAGGGATGGGGAATGAGAAGATAGAGAGAGAAAGCAAACTCTAGTTGAAAGGAGTGTGTCCCTCAGTGCAGCAGCAGGCCAGAGGCCAGGAGCTAAGGCAGAAGGAAGGATCTAGTTTCCTGTGAATAGGCCAATGATTTTAAGAGCGATGATACACGAATTTCAATTTGTTTTTCTTTCTTGCCTTATAATTTGGCCATGCTATCCTCAAGTCATATTTAAGTTTATTAAACCACAGAGTCATCTGTTAGCTGGTCTCTGAAGAATAAAGGAGTGATGGGTTGTATCCAAGTTTAGGGCTTAAGTATAGAAGGAATGATGAAATCAGTGAAGTTGACTGAAGCAGCAGCCTGAGGAAGTGGTCAGGCATAGAGAGTGGAAAACAAAAACCAGGGTGCGCTGAAGATCTTCGGAAATAACAGCAGAGAGGGCCAGAATAAATGAGTATATAGCCCTGTAGGATGGGGCATGGATTTACATTTGGATATTATGGGAAGCTCAATCCTGTAAGTCTTGAAAACTGAGGACACTTGAGTTACTTATATAATGTCGCAAAACGTGACATTTTACTTACAAAACTTGAATCATGATATGTATCATGTGATACCATGACTTTATGTAGCAATTTGTGTTTTTTTAAATACTTCGAATGTTTTTGAAAACACAAATTTTCAATGACAGAATGTCATTATAATGTACCATGATTTTCACAACTATTTCCCTAGCCATCTAGGATGTTTTCATTTCTTTTTGGCCATTAAATAACAATGTGAGACAGGGATGCCCATTATCACCATTTACTAGACATCTTAACAATACAATAAGACATGAAAAAATGAAGACATAACTGGAAAGAGATGAAATAATCTTTTCTTTTTGTAGATAATGATTGCTACATAGAAAAATCCAAGAGAAATGATGAACAATGTAATAAAATAAGGGAGTTCAGCAAAGTTTCTGGGTCTAAGAATAACATGAAAAAATCAGTGATATTCTTGGATGCTAACAGTACCAATTAGAAAATTATAGTCCTATAAATTTAATTTTGATCAAAATCCCAAGAGGCATATTAGAGAAACTTTACAGCTTATCCTAAAATTCACATGAAAGAGTAAATGTCTAAAAATGGCCAAGGCAATATTCTGTCTTTTGAATCACTCAGAAGAAAGAAGGAAACTATCAAGGGGAAGGGCATGGTTCGGCAAAACACCGAACGTGGGTGCTTGTAAACTCGCCATCACTGATGAAAATACACAAATAATGCTATCTAAAAGTTTTATGGACTGTAGCAATACCTGCTGACTAATGGCTCTTTTAGCTTCTTTCTTTAATGACCCAACACTCAGAAAGTAAATATTTTTCATGGCCATTTCTTGATATATTTGTCAAATGAAAGGACTCACAGCCGAACAAGGTAGTAATACCTGACAGAAAAGCAAAGAGGAGATTCAGCTATAGGTTGCAAACTGGTGGCCTGAGAATGAAATTAGACTTGCAGATATATTTTTTGGAGCCTCACAATTTTAATTGGCATTGTGTTGGAAGCTGTTTTGAATTGCTGTAATATTTAAAAAGCTAGAGATTTCATATGAAAACAACTGGTTGGAGCCAGCTAGTTGCCACCTTCTTGAGAGAGAACTGTGCTCTTCCCAGTTTGCCATAGTCCACGCTACTCTTTATTATCCGCTCTGGTTCTCACTTACAATGTCTAACTGGTCCCTCTAGTCGGTTGAGTTGGTAACCCATGACTTGGATAAAGCCAAAAAACGGAGAGGAATTCTTTTGTGGTCTAGATTAGCACACTTAAAAGGAGTCCATAGGTCTTGAAAAAGCCAGTGGAAAGAAAGCTAGTTTAAAATATCTGAGGTAAAATGTTTTTAATAAAGACATTCTTTATAGATCACATATTAGATTAACAATATTTTTCTTCATTTTGAAGTGTTTTGTATTAAATGGACTTTCATTTAACAATGAATATACTAAACTACTCTGATAGCCACTAAAACTGTTATGAAAGTCAAAGAATTCACTTTTCTATGGAAACAGCAGCAACTACTAACTGCCTACCAAACTTTGCGAAGAGGCAGAATACAACTTGTGGTGGCAATTAGAATATTGCATCTTACAGCGACAGAAATTTTCAAAGATTTTGCTTGCTATTACCACCATTTACGAATTTGGGACAGAGTACCAGGCAAGACACAGGTGTGTTTTGGAAAGCTAACAGTATCACAGGATGCCACCGTTTCACAGCATATTTATTCCCTGGTTCAACAATGGAGAAAAAGGCCCTCAGTGAAATGGAGTGTATATGAGGGAATCTTGGCACAGAGCTGGGGAAAGTGGCAGAATATGGTGATTTTAAAAAGCTTGGTGTTTTCTAGCCAGTGCTAGAAGCTGACCATCATTTGGTTGTTTCGGATAATTTCCACTGGCACTTGCGTGGTCTCTCCTGGTTGTTGTGTGTATCATCGAGGCGTTTGAATCCTTCAGTGAAAGGCAATTCCTTAGTGACTCCTACAACCAGCTGGTTAATTAGAGTTGCCTTAAATAATTGACCCCCAAAATGCATAATATGCATATGTAAATATGCATCATTGCTGTCATTTGACTCTGTCACCCTGGACGAAAAGCTATAAGAGAGTTTGACTCTCTCTTCCTCAACTAAAAAATCTACCTGACCTCTTCCAAAAAACAAAACAAAACAAAACAAAACAATGGAATACAAAGTTGATTTGAGTATTTTATTTATAAATGTACATTTACTATAAAAGCTGTTGCATTTTAGACAACTTAATATTTTTTACTATTTCTCAGAGGCATTTTAGAATAAATATTTTAAATGAAGGTTAATGTAACTGATATAGAACATTGGCCCACCCAGAACAGTAACATCTTTTGGACAGACTCACATATGAGGTGGAGCATTTCAGTTTGTTAAGTCTTACACTGTGTATAGAGTAACTACAATATGTATTGCATTAATAACACTACATAGAAAGAATGAGGAAACATCATGAAAGTTTGCTAGTGAAAACCAGTTACCCATTTTTCTTAAGAAAGAGTAGGGACTAGCTTTTGGAGTATGAAAAAAAAATCAGATCTACTTCCTCAGGAACAATAAATCATTCACTTGCTTCATCTGTTTTCTAAGCAAACACATTTACATTGCGGCTCAGCAGAGTAGAACATTTTTTTTTCCCTGTGATCTCAAAGATTATTTGAAAAGAAATAGATCATACTCATTATGCTGCATTGGAAAAAACAAGATCTAGTCTGCCTGAGCTGCCATGTAACAGACTGCAAATGAAATATAAATCAAATATAAATAGAAACAGTTGGCAATTAGAATTTAGAAAATGTTGGAGATTATTCTGTGCTGGTGCCTATTGTTCATTATGGGAAAGCACATTTCGCAGTCGGAGAATGGGCTTTATTTTTCTTGACTTGATTCTAGCTTCAATACATGTACAATGAGTCTTACTAAGAAATATGTATAAATGGGTTTGTGAAACCAGAAGAGAATGTGCAATATTCATATAATCCTCACATAACGGATGAAGTTCCACATGTAAAAAGTATTCTATAAAAACCGGTTATGAATGATCATATTGTACATGTTTTGTGCATTATTTCTGGTAAAGTATTCTGCTAATATCATGCAAAGTGTAAACATCCACATTATCAAAATATTTAATAAAACATGCAGGTGGTTAATCAAAATATTGAACTTAATCTGTAAATTTTTAAAACTTTTTTCTTTTTAAATTTTTCTATTTTTTTTTTCTGTTTAATTTTTTCCCCCTGTGAAACAGAAAATATCTCCACGAGAAGTCAGGAACTTGGAAGCGACTTCAGCTCTCCTCAATGCACTGCACCTACAATTCATCATCGACTGTGCAACAGCTTCGCATTTTCTAAGGCACAATTTTTAATGAAATGATGTGTAAATTTCAATCTAACAGCAGTTCACCCAGATGACAAAATGGTCAAAACACCTCAAGTGGCTGAGAAAATTTCTGCACTTACATAGAATCTGCATGCAGAGAACCATCTAGCACGTAAATAAATAACTGCTAGCCATACTCAATAAGACACAAAAAAATTATTGCTTTTATAACAGAAAACCATCTACTCGATCTCCTTTTATGACTACATTAACCTATTAGGAGGATATCCATAGTCTACATTCACAAAATGTCATCTTCACTTATTTGCCATTATTTTAAGGCAGAATAAATAATTCCCCTCCCCAGTCTTAAAAGAAAACAGCCTGGAGATTTAAAACACAATTTTTTTTAGTAACTTGATTCTCTTCTTGGTCAGCAGAAACTCATCACACAGGGTAAAAATTAACCAGCTCTGCACAGGAGTTCCTCTCTAAATGTCTCCATGAGCAAGGTCCAGAATTCTTGATAGTAAAGAGAGTTGGTGATGTAGGAGAATGAAAGAGAGCAGATATCCATTGGAGTGGGTGGGGTGTATATGACTGTAGGTTCTTGATCATACACCACCTGCTTATCACATCGTATGTCATTTGGATTCTATTAGGATGAACTTAACGCTTTTCTTTAGACACCTGTGTTTCAGGCCCTCAAGGAGAACTTGCAGGCAAGGGAAAGCAGTGGTCTCATCTAATGATGGACTGATCTCGATGAGAGCTTCCATATGTCTTATATTGAGTCTCTTATTGAATCTAGAGCCTGAAAAGAAGCAAGCAACAAAGCCCTTATGGCTAGCAGTGACCCATCATGCTTTTGAAGATTAAACTTCCTCACAGATTTTGGTAATAATGTTGGAAGTGATGACTAAAATATTTCCCTCTGGTTTCTTCCTACCCTTGGGCAATGTCCCAGAGTGTAAGTCTAGTTGATATTGCAAGGGTTCTCTTTATTTGATGGACCAATCTCTATTAATGACATAACTTCCAAAGTACATAAAACCTAATACTAACGGTGTAATAATTTATTGGTATGACTTCTACCTCAAAAGGTAAGTAACACAAATGTTTCGCAACTACAGTATATATTATCAGACTAGTGTCTTTGCATTAAAAACGAGTTACAGGTCAGAGCTTTATGATGTGATTTTTAGTTTCTGAAATGCATAATTTTATGCTTTTGTCTTAGAAGACCACATGTCTCAACTTGGCAATTCTTGTACTTTCTGCAGCTCAATTTTATAAACATAAAATGTTTAATTCCTAGAAATACTAAAACAAAACACGTTTATTGAATCATTTATCTCATTAACTCTCAAAGAAGAGAATAACACGTTTTAAACCATAAGCCTATTTGACCATGCTAAGACCCTTTTTTGAACTATTCAGAATCATTAAAATTTAATTTTTTGTGTGTATACTGCACAAATGCAAAAAACCCAAACCAAAACAAAACAACGACAACAGGAAAAACACAAACACTGTGCTACAAAAGAACAGATACCATCTTTTAGAATAGCTTTTCAGAAAGTAGATGAATGCTGAGAAGCCCCTGAACCTGGGATTCTGATAGACAACTGCCAGGAGACATTCTCAATAAAGAAATGGTGAGTGATCTGGAAGCTTGAAAACCGTGTCACAAGGTTGTGGGTTGGCCAGCACCTGTGATAAAGAAATCAAAGTAACACTTGGTTGAAGTTGTTAATGCTTCTTGATTCATATTTTTAAAAACTTCTCAAATTAGCCATGACCTCTAGGGAAGGAAACTTGTGCCACCTGCTACTCGAATTGTGGTCCAAGGAGCAGCAGTACTGGTATCACCTAGAGCTTGTTAGAAATGTGGACTTTTAAGCTCCATCCCAGAACTTAACAAGGAGCCCAAGTGATTCATATTTCCTATAAAGGAGTATGATCTCCAACCAGTTTTCTACTTTGTCTTCTGGGGCAAATAAACAAGAAAATAATCATTCTTCTCTCAGTTTCTTTACTTTGTTTTCTCTAAGAATAAATACATTGCAACAGGAGGAATTTGATGTATGATCTAGAAAACAGGATTGCTAGATTTAGCAATTAAAAATATAGAACATCCAGTAAAATTTGGATTTCAGATAAACAACAAACGTGAATTTTTAGCATAAGTATATCCCATGTGATATTTGGGATATACTTGTGCTAGACATACGGTATTTGAGACATATACATAGGAAAAAAATCATTGTTTACCTGAAATTCAAACTTAACAGTCAAAAAACATTTAACTGGGCATCTTGTATTTATCTGGCAATGCTATTTAGGAAGAGTGGTTTGGGCCACATTTCC